GTAAGGGCGGCGTGGAGCAGGAAGCGGGGCTGCTTGTGGCGGCTTTGCCCATTTCCGGTTCTGGTATCCAGGTTAGGCTTTCCAGAGCGCGTCACCCTTTGGCCTTCCTTAGCAGGTTGCTGTTCAGTCATTGGCTCACTTTTTCTCGTGCCTCAGAGTCAAAGGTGACTATTGAGCTAGTTAACTTTTCATCTGCAGTTCTGAACTAGATTGCTCGCTCCTCTCTTATTTTTTTAATCAGCTTATATGGCCGCCCATATAAAGGTGGATCAGGAATCAACTCCACGAGAAAAGCAGCTGCAACTACTTTATTGAGATTGGCTCTAATATCAGAATCTTGCAAGTCTGATTGTGCTGTTCCTCCTCCTCTGAATCGGAGGCCGCTTCCAAATGCATCTCCTTACTCTGGACTTAAAAAATGCATTCAGCTCCTTTTGCATAGGTAACAACACCTTGTGCATATTTCTGTCAAGGTCATTATCCTTACTCTCTAGTAGTTCACACAGCATCACAACCCTTTTAACCCCTTTGTCACCAGAAGGCTTCTGGGTGCAATTCAGGTGTTAGCTATCAACTGTGAAGCCCTTCCTTGCACAAGGTCCAACTCTCTAAAGGTGCTTTTTGCCCAACTGATAAGATCTGGCAGATGGCTCTCCTGGTCCTGTCACTCAAGCAGTGCCACCTGGTCGGGGCAGCCCTTCCCTCTTGTAGTACCTGCCTTTTGGAACAGCATCAGATATGCCTAGACCCCCACCTTACTGGTTTTAAAAGGGCATGGCCTCTTTCCTCAAGCCTTGGGTGAGCAGGATGTCCTCTGAAAGTTTCGGTTAGAAATGACGTTTTTTGGCCAGAGGTTTGGGGTTTCTTATTGGTATTTTATCTGTATTCAGTTTTGACTCTATCTGTCCAGAGCTGGTGCAGATTTGAGTGACCTTAGAAATTTAATAAAATAAATCCATACATTTTTTAGTAGTTACCACAGGGAAATTACGGTAATTAGCTTTGGAAGTGACAACCAGGACTTCCTGTTGGGTGAAATCATTTCCTGAGAAGCATTTATGTCAATGCCAGAAGGCTGAGGGCCAGGATACGGATCAGGAGCAACCATATTCGCACAAGGGAAACCTGGTAGGGTGAAGAAGATGGTTGGTTGATATGGCACTTCTGAATTCAACCTTTTAAGGAAGATCAGGAAAGGAAGCAGTGGGGTGTTAAGAGGACAAGTAAGCAGGAATCTCCCAAAATGGCAAGTGTTCCCCACACTCCCTTTAAGTGACTGCATCAAGTCTAGCCAGTGCTCTGGGAATGGAAAGAGAGTGGGGAAAAAAGTGAAAAAAGAATAGAAAATAAAATAAAATAGGGAAGCAGTTTTATCCATTGGACAGAAAGGCTCTGGGCAATATTGAGTTGTAGCACAAAATCCGAAATGGTTAATCCCTGAGGCCACAGATTATGTCCCAAATGTGGTTGTATTTAATCTGTAATAAACCGTACTGCTATAAGTGACGATCCCCCACCCAATTATGCTAGGTAGCTTTGGACATGCCTCTCAGTGACATCCAGGACTGTTTACAAAATATAAGAGCTAATGAACTGATTGGAAACTGATCACAGTGGCAGCAAATTTAAGACACAGGTAAGCCATAATAGCCAAGGAAATACAAAACAGTCCCCGTTGATTTTAAAAGAAGAACCTTCTCTAGAAGGAGCAGAAGGAAGTGATAAGGGGAGGTTGAGCGGACTTCAGCATGTCTCGGGATGGTTCCTCTGCTGTCCATGTCAAGCCCCTGCCTTGCCTGCAAGCTTTTCTTCTCAGAAGTAGAGACCTGGAAATGGATCCACTTTGGGGTGGGTATTCACACTAAATCCTTGCAGTAAAAAGGAGTAGAAGTTTTCATTGTCCTGTCCTGATATTGGTGATTTATGAAATTCTCAAGGTTCAGAATTAGTGGGGGAACATATTGGGGGAGGCCAGTTTGAGGACTCCACAAAGAGGAAACAGGCTTCTAAGCGGTAAATGCAATTCCCGGCAGGCAGGCAGGCAGGCAAAGGGTGTCGGGAAGGAAAAAGGTTCCTCATATCACAGACACTGAGGGCATCTGAGCTAAAAAGGGAAGCGTTCTTGAAACCCTGCAAATGAGAATGTCCTCTGAAAGTGGTGTGCTGAGTGGCAAGGCATTTTTTTTCTCCTGCCGACAAACAGCTGATTTTGCCACCAAAGTGGGGTTTTGGATGGCCCACTCCCCAGATTTGAATGGGAGCAACTACAAATGACCCAAGATGATCCTCAGATGACCGTGGACCTACTGGGAAGAGGAATCTTGATGGTCGCAGTTCTTGGTAGGAGCAGCCTGAGGGTTCAGTCTCCATCCTTTCCTTTCAGCTGTTTGTTATTCTTAAGTATGCCTCGGTTTTAATTGCACTTTTTCTCTTTTCATTTTGATTTTAAATCGACTGGTTGAATGCCAATTTATTCTAACCCTTGCTGGATTAATGTGAATTCGTCTTTTTTTACTGCTTTATTTTGCTGTTGTAAAGTCCCCATATGGGAGAATTGACCCCACCCCCTATTGCCACAAGAAGGGCAAATTCCACCTTGGGGGTAATTTGGAAAGACTGCTATTCTTTCTTGATCAAAATCTGCAGAATGATCCAAATTGGTTTGATTGCCACTGTACTAAGGGACAGAATTAGCCACGAGCGAGCAAGGGCCTGCGATTCTTGGTCTTTTGGCTTAGATGGGCAAGGTGACTGGGTGGTGGGATCATTCTGTTTGTCCTCTCGCTCTGGCAGGAGGAAGTGGTTCAGGACCAGGGAGAGGAAGGACAATCCACAGTCCGGCTATGGAATTGCTACCCCACAATGGACCGAGTTGCCAAGTTTTTTGGTTAGGGAATTGCACCAGCCATGGAAGAAAAATCCATCTGCCTTCTAGATAGATGGATCTAGATCTAGCAATTGGGGAAGAGAGTGGAGGGCCATTTCCTGTTTCTTGATCTCTCTGGAATTAGAATTGGGATGCCTTTATCCGGCTTCTGGGTCTGCAGATGTTTTTAAGAATAGCCCCTAATTATTTGAGTGCTTTTTCTTCAGTGGCCTCTGATTCATTTCTGAATCACATGCTTGAAAAAGGTGAGAATTATTAATTCTTCCACTTTTATTGTGCTTGTAACAAGCCATCCGGCAGGAAGCCAGATTTAAGATAATTCGATCCCTGCTGGGGAAGGATGAGGCACAGGGACATCTGTCAGATTACTGTGAAGAATATTCTCCTTACCTTATCTGGACAGGCCCACTTGAGGTGCCCGGCATATATTATCTGGGATGAGTTTGGAGTCTGACCCCCAATGAAGTAGATGGCGCCTTTCAGATTTTATGAGACCTGGGTCCCTTCTGAGTTTTTAAACTCGTCTGGGAAGCAGCCTCTGGTTGAATCCACACCATAGCGTCTGCTTCTCCGAGACAGGACAGCAGCTGGTTCCTTCAGCTCTAAAGGAAACGGTGGTGTATGCTCTCCGTTTAGGGACTTTGTAGAGAAGTTGGTCAGGGAAAAGCCCCAGGAGATCCTGGAGGAAATGGATTACCTGGAGCCAGGCTTCAGGCTCCTGGGATACAGCACGGAGGTGGCACTGGTCACGCTTGTTGATCTTTGGGGGAGCAGGAATGGAGATGATGTAGCCATCCTTGTGCTTCTTGATCTCTGGGCAGTCTTCAAGGCCGTGGACTGCAGTGTTCTTTGGACAAGCCGAGGGGATTGGGAGTGGTCCCATCCATTAGTACTGTGGGGAAGAGGTCAAGTCCACCGCCCCTCGCTTGTGGGGGTGCCACAGGGCTCCAAACTCACCATTTCACCATATCTACATGAAACCACTGGGTAAGGAAATGATCCATCTTGACCCCATGATGCCTTTGAGATCCTGTCCCAATGTCCGAATGAGGTAGAACCTACTCAGGCTCAATCCTGACACTACTGAGTGGCAGCAGAAATCTGGACTTCCAGTTCTGGGGACCTTCCGTGCTTCGTTTCAGACGGAGCTGCATTTCCTCATCCAAGACTGGTGTGCCATTTGTGAGTCGTCTTGGACTCAGAGCTCCTGCTTAAGGAGCAGGAAGCTGCCGAGTATCATCAGCCTATTGGTGACACCTCAACCCAGGGTGACGGAGGGTCTCGCCCAGGGGCTTCGTGTAGATGTTGGAGAGGAGAGGAAAGAGTAGCGAGCCCTGTGGGTGGTCGAGGGCTGGGTCTCTAGCTCCCTATCAACCCTGAATCGGTGCACCACTCTGCTGCCGGCCCCGAAGGATGCCCCGGTCGGTGAAGGCGGCTAGAGCACGAGGAGGAGAGCGAGGATGGTTGCAGTGCCCCTGTCCTGCCAGAGAGCACCCATGAGTGCAGCCAAGGCTGTGTCTATCCCATAGGCGGGCCTGACTCCGGACTGAAAGGAGTCCAAAAAAATCTTTTTTTTCCTTTTTGGTTCCCCCCATTCCTGACCTGCTGTCACAGCCTGTCTTTGCTTGCAGCGGTGGAAGAAAAGCTGGTTTGTGCTGTACCCAGCAAGTCCTCACGGAGTTGCCCGTTTGGAGTTCTTCGACTGCAAGGAGGGGGCTGCTCCAGCTGACCGGATCAACACCAAGAGGCTGGACAAGAAGATTGTGCGGCTGGCAGACTGTGTGAGTGTGGCTCCTGCCCTGGACTGCACCCCCAAGGAGGGCTTGGCTGCCTTCTGCCTGGAGACCAGCAGCCGCACGTATGTCTTCGCTGCCGAGCCACAGGAGGCGGCTGACTGGGTGGCGAAGCTCTGCGAGGCAGCCTTTCTGGTGAGGCGGACTGGTGGGCAGGGCAAGGGGAGAGGGAGGGAGGGAGGGAGGGGAGTAGCTGAAGCGAAGGGCATAGACCCACCCACGCAGGATGACTTTAGGGGTGGGAAAGTGGGGGGAAAGGCAAGGCCCCCAGCAGTGACAGAAGCCCATGGGAGGTAGGGAAAAGCAAGCCCAGAGAAATTGACGGGTGAGCTGGTACACGCAGAGGAAGAGGGGAGTGAGGCTGAGTGGCCGAGCTGTGCCCTCCTTGCCCTGTTGTGAGAGTCTTCCAGAATTTGTGTCACCAAGCAAAATGTTCTGGGTTTGGTCAGAGCCAAATTTAGCACTATGTCTAGTTCAGGGGACCTACTTTAAAAACTTGGAACAGGTTCCCGGAAGGGAACAAGCTGGATTAGGAGACATGTGAGAAGAAAAGCATCTGGAGCCCTCGAGCCATCGGCTCCCATCATGGGGTGCTGGGCGGGCCCAGAGACTGCTAGGAAGAGCTCCCGAGGGGCAGGATTGGCCCCTTTACGATCTGTTCGTCTGGAGAGCTCTGGGTTGGAGAGCTTCATTGGACTCCTGCAGAGGGCCCCAAAGATCAGGATCTGAACTCTTGACACCAGGGCAGTTGCCAATCCTGTCAAGGCCTTTGGGCAACTGAGGCAGAATCAGCTCTTTTTGCTCAAGTGCTAGGCCAGGGCTGCCACTGAGACCTTTTATGACCCTCATCGCAGACTAACCCTGGGAAAATGACCCCGTCTGCTACGGAGACCGCTGGAGAACGGGACCTGGAAATGGCCACAAACTCCATTTACTGCTCCAGAGAAGAAGGTAGGACTTCATGGCTGAGCGTGGCCAGCACGTCCCGTCTGTAGCTTGGACGGTCCAGCTGGTCCCCCTTGGAAACTTTCATTTAGTGGCAACACATGTGGGGGTGAGAGGTGGGGCTGCTCCTGGTTTTCAAACTGGACCCTGCATTGGGAGCTACGCAGGTGGGCAAGAAGCACAGGGTGCTCCTGTGTGGCACGGTATGTGCTCTCCCACCCCCACCCCTTCCCCCAGGGATGGGGAGGTGGTGCCTTGTGGTCTCCCCACCAGGACGGCCGTCCACTCTGACTCTCCCCTTGGCTGCAGTGAATGAGTTCTGGGTCACCGTACAGAAAACCGAAGCTGCCGAGCGCTGCAAGCTGCAAGGGATGTACGTGTTGAAGGCCTCTTGGAACCAGCTCGTCCTGAGGGAGGCCCACTCCAGCCTGCCCCTCTACACATGGCCTTATCGCCTCCTCCGCAGATATGGCAGGGACAAGGTGAGCTTGTCGGGCAGGAGAGGAGCTGGCCCTCTGGGGTTTTGCCTCGTTCCCCCCACCCCACCCCACCCCGAGATCTGGGAAGCAGGGAAAAGTTGGACTCACTGAGCCAGAGGAACTTATCCCAGCACTGGCTTCGTGAGGGAAGGCTCGTGAGGGGCTGCCCCACGTGCCCTGGGGTGGTCCTGGCTGACCACAAGGCCTCACTTCCCTATGGCAGGTGATGTTCTCCTTCGAAGCTGGCCGGCGCTGTGAATCCGGTCCCGGCAACTTCACCTTTGAGACCAAGCAGGGCAACGAGATCTTCCACGTGGTGGAGGCTGCCATTCAGGCTCAGAAGGCCCAGGTGGAGGAGCATCGGCAGAGCAACAGCTCCCTTGAGATGGAGGCCCCTGGCGTCTCCTACCTCCAGAGTGCCGTGGCCCACTCCCTCAGCCTGGAGGGGGAGGGCGCTGCTGCCTCGGAGAGACGGGCCCCCAGGAGCGCCCTGACAGCCAGGCCCAGCGTCGCCGGGGAGGAGAAGGAAGCTGCCGTGCCCAAAGGGCAGAACCAGTGGCCTCTCCCCTCCCTCCGGCCTCCCCCCTCTGGGATGCCTGGCTCTTTGGAGGACACCACCAACGTCTACTCTGAGCCTCTGGATGCGGTGAAGGGCTCGCGGCTCCGGCCGGACTCCCTCTACGCTGACCCCATTGACAGCCAGCGTGAGGAAGAAGGGCCGGGCCGGGGCTCCAGCCTGGTGGAGGAGCAGCCCAGGCCATGGACTGGCGGGGGCCATGGGCTCCCGAGCGGCAAGCAGCACATCTACGATGAGCCTGAGGGAAGGGCCCCGTGGCCCACCCCCACTTCGGCCGCCATCTATGACGAGGCACGCCTCCCCTGCGAGGCCTGGCGGACTCAGGGCTTGGAGGGCCAAGCTGGCTATGAGTTGCCATGCCTTCCCGGAACTGGTGATTATGCTGTCCCTGCCTTCCACCAAAAGGCCGGGCTGAAACCCCCCAGGCCGAGCCCCGCCCCCAAGCCTCCCCGGGCGCACAAGAAGTCCGCTCAGCCAGAGGCCAGCAAGCCCAGAGCGGCTGCCACGCAGGGCCCGGAGGGGCTCCGTAACAGCAACAACAGCAACAACGGCAGAGACCTCCTCTACAGCCGCGTGCTCAAGCCGCCTTCGGCCCCCGGCCCCCTGGGACCTGAGCAGTCTGTGGATGAGAACCGGCCAGCTGCTGTGTACGAAGACCTGGGGGAGATCTGAGAAGGGACGCTGGGCTGGGCTGGAGCAGTCTTCCCAAGGGCACCTTCTTCTGCAGGCTGCCTCATTTACGCACTCTCATAAGAGGTGGGCCGAGCCCCCAAAGTGACAGCAAAGGCTGCCTCTTCTGAGGGCCCCAGCCTAGCCTGAGGGCCACATGGGCCAAGCCAGGAAGCCGCTGTACGGGAAGGGCCCCCAAAGGTAGGAGGGAGCTCCTGGGGAACCCACCGGGACGTCGCTTCTTTGGGACTGCAGCCTTCAGCAGCGAGACCAGAGAGTCTCCCTGGCACATTCCAAGCCATTTGGGAGGTTGCTGCTTCCCTTGGTCACTGCAGAGAACCAGGGGGAGCCCCTGCTGGGCCTGGCCTGCCTGCCTCCCTCCCCCACCCCCACCCCCACCCCCACCCCTGGTGTGCCAGAGGCAGCCCGAGTGGTGGGCTGAGGCAGCCCCTGAGACTGTGCCTGTGGCTGCCCTGCCTCTGCGGGAGGCTGAGAAGGGCTCCTGGGGCAGCGGGAGGCAGGCGGGCGCTTGTGGGAAGGAGCTGAAGGAGACTCTTGCTCAGGCTGTCACAAGGAGGTTTATTGGCGCAGGGGATGTGGCTGAGCCAGGCCGGAAGGGGGCCGAACAACAGAAACCAGGAAGTGCCACAAACAGTTCCCTCCTCCCCTTCTACCCGCTTCCCCATGGAGCCCACGCTGGGCGCGGGTTGGCCCTGCTCCTCCCCAAGGCTTGCGGGGAACACCCAACCCCCCCCCCTCCATGCCCCCTGGTCTGGGCGAGGGTGGGGAGGTGTGAGTTGCTGCCAAAGAAGCTGGCCTGTAGCCGGGGGTGGGGTGGGGGGGCTCCGGTTCTTTTGGCAGAGGATGCCCTGTGGCTGTGAAGAAGGCAGGCTGCTCCCTCCGTGGCCGAGACACGTGGACAAAGGCGGCTACATCTTGGACTCTGGGATCGCCTTTCCTTGGCTCGGAGAAAGGGGGAGGCTGCCAGAGCCAGCTGGCGGAAGGCCCACCTGCAGCGGGGCCACGGTGGCCCTGGCCCTGCTGGGATGCATGTGGCCCCCCTGCTGTGGGGGAAGAAACACCATCACTGCTGGGGCAACTCGGGGGGGGGGCTCCTGCCCTCCCTGCTTCGTTAGTAACAGAGCCCATCTCAAAGGCTGGAAGGTGCCCCGGGTGTTAGGGCAGAGCCCTTTCGGGGGGAGGGGTTGCATTTGCCCTCCTAAGCAGCCATGTTGGAGCCCCCCCTGCCTCCTGGGCTGGTTCTTTACTGGCGGGCTGTTTGTTCCTGCCCTTCCCCATGCCGCCCGTGCCCCTTGGTACCTGGCGGGGCCATTGTCTTGGTGCCCAGCGCTGAACTCGGGAGGCAGGCAGGCGGCCCAGGCCCCTCTTCAGGGCCTGGTACAAATGACCGTTTGCCAGCAGGGGATCGTAGGTTGCCTCAAGCTCCAGGCCGTTGAGGACACCCTGGAGCGGGAGAGGCCGAGTAGGTGCCAGGGGAAGGCAGGGGTGCCCCTTTCCCTGCAGGGGTGCCCTGTTCTCTTCGTTTACCTCCATCTCCGCCAGTGCTGCTTCTGGCAGGTCAGCAGGGAGGGGAGGAAAGCTGCAAGGCAGAAGCAGCTCTCGGGCCACGACCGGGCGCAGCAGCAGGGTGGAGGAGTCCGAGGGCAGCAGGACCTGGAAGGTGCCTACGGAGAGGCGTCCGCTGAGGTCTGGCCCACCCCAGGCCTCGTATTTGGCAAGCAGCAGCCATTTCCGCTTCTGGAAGACAAAACCGGTGCCCTGGGCGTTGTGTTGTGAGTTCCCTTGCCAGCCACGTGCCAAAGAGGAGCGATGCTGATGGGCAAGGTGCCACTGACACACAGCCAGCAGTACAGTCAGCCTGCCTGCCGGAGAACCTGCGGAGTTCTCCTCTCTGCCCCAGAGACTGGGTGGCTTCAGAGCTGCCAGCGGGACGGCCTTCCCCTCAGCCCCCCTCCTACTGCAGACCCTCCCCTTAGGACTCACCCACAGGCAGTGGCAGAAGGCTTGGAAACTCTGCTGGTTGGCCTCCAGTTCATCCCAGCTCAGCTGCCAGCAGCTTGTGGGCCTTAGGACTAGCGGGAGACCAAAAAGCAGGGACGCACAGACCCCATCGGCCTTCAGCGCCCTGCAAAAGGGAAGCTTGTCAGCGGGGAGCAGGCAGTTGCTGCTCTTATGAACATCATGATGGCCCCCGGCAGGTTACTGGCTGGGGATCCAGGAAGGTGCAAAAGAAAACCTCTGCACGGCCACTGCTGGGGGCAGAGACGTGTCCTGCAGATGGGTGGAAATGGCCTCCAGTAGAGGCAGGCTGCAGCCCCTCCCCCTGCCTGGGGGCAGGAGCTTGTGCAGACCCCCCCCCCTTTGGAGCACACTGCTACTCCTCCCCTGAAGGTTGGGGCCGCCAGGAGGAGGACTGTCCCTTGCCTGGCAAATATGGCTGGCCAGGCTTAGGGTGGGTGGGAGGAAAGCGGGGGGGGGGGAGGCTTATCCACAAAGGTTTGTTTACTCCCTCCAGGGTGAAGGCAGCTCCCAGCAGGGAGGGAGCAGCGGGTGGGGAGGGTGGGTCTCCTGCTCTTCCAGAGCTGGTTAACTGAGCGATCCAAGGGAGAAGGAAAGGGGGGGGGAGCAGGTGGGTCCCAGAGGAAAGGAGAGCTGCAGAGCCCCAAATGCTGCAATTGGTACACAGCTTGCACAAATGCTTGGAAGTGGAGGGCAGGCAGCCTCCTCCCCCCTTCCCCCTGGCTGAGCTGTAAAACCAGCATCCTGGTCTTGGCCAGGCCTGGACATCCGCTGAGGCAACCCCCCCCCCCAGTCCCCATAACGGTTTCCTGTCCCCTCGCGTGTCCTTAGATTTATCTACGGCTGGGATGGAAATCAGTTCGGCTCTAAAGCGAGGACCATCCCGTTTGGGGAAGAGGAAGCAGTGCAGGAACTGGAACGCCAATTTCAGCAAAATAAGAGTTGGGGCTGCTCCAAGTTTTTCAAAAGAGCTTTTCTGTAATAAACCTCAAAGTTCCTGATTCTTGCATGTCTGCTTAATTGCTTCCAGTCCAACCAGCGGGGGGGGGGGCTTCTTCCAAGGGCCCCTTCCTTGGTCTTCAGTTGGTCTGGGGGGGAGGGGGGAACAGAACAGTACATTGGGGTCTCCATCTGAGCTGCTCCATGGGCTGAGCTTGGCTGCACCTGAACAGTGTATGCAGGGCCCAGACTGGTGGATCCGATCCGGGCTTCCCAATTTCTTCCCTGAATATTACCTAGAGAGCTTGGATGTGGGAAAAGCTCTACGTGGCCCATGCTGTCCGTGGAGGGGGCTCCTCTTGCTCGCAGGTAGGCCAGCCCTGTTGCTGCCCACACACTCTCTGCTCTTTCAAACAACCGGCTGAGAAGCAGGGCTGTCAGTTCCAGGAGGGCACCCACGCTCTCCGTGGGAGGAAGGCGGTGCCCTTTTGCCTTGGCAAGTGGCCGCCTAGAAACTTCCTGGAACACTTTCTAGCGCTGCCACCCGGTGTATTTGACCCTGGGGCGGAACTGCCAAGGGCTCTGCCACTTTCCCTTTGGGGACAGGGTCCCAGAAAGGCCACTGGACCCACCTCTGTCCAGGTGCCGGCTGGCCATTCGGTGGGGGAAGGGAGGGCGCATGGCGAGGGCTCCCCCGTCTCGTCCGGCTGGCCACTGGGGCATCCCGAGAGATGGCTGGGCCCTGTTACCCGGCCCAAGTGCTGCTCTGGGCAGAGAGGCTGTGACGGGCAGGCCTTCCTTCGGCAGCTGAGGGAGAAGGGGAGGGAAGGCCCCAGGCGCCATCGCCACAGGCTGCTCAGAGACGGTCCCAGGGGGCAGCAGAGGGGATTGCCTTGCTAGAGAGGCAAACGGGAGCTCGGCTGAGACATTCACCACGTGTGCTGCTCTTAAATTGTGGGAACTGCTTTGCTAGACAGGCAGACCGGAGGGAGTTCAGCTATCTCGGCATGGAAAATTACACCAGGGTGATAACTCGGCACTTGAGGAAGGCACAGCCACGAGGAGGAGGAGGAGGAGGAGGAGTCCTTCGCAAGACGCCGATTCCTGAATAAGCCAGAGCCAGGCAGCTGGCAGGCCGGCCCATCTCCCAGCCCTGGGTTCGAGGAAAAGGGCTCCTGATCTGCCGTTCTTTGCAGCCCTCTTTCCACAGGAGCTGTTGCTCCACACTTGCTGGCTGAGACCTTCCTTCCTTCCTTCCTTCCTTCCTTCCTTCCTTCCTTCCTTCCTTCCTTCCTTCCTTCCTACCTACCTACGAAGCCACTTCTGCTCCTCCTGTTCTAGGAGGAGGAGGAGATCCCACTCCCAACCAAAACTGAATGTCTTGTTTATGAAAACAATGGTATTGCCAAAAACAGCCGGCAGTTTTCGAACCGTGGTGCTGGGATGGGCTGCTGAGCGCTCGCTCGGAGGGGAGAGGAGGAGAGTCCTCTGGAGAAGCTTCTCCTGGTGGCAGGCGGGGAGGGGGGGCCATTGCCAGCCTCCTGCATGCACCACCCTGATGCAGGCCTGGGCTCGCCAGAGGTCTGCCATCCACCTAGGGATACTTCTTAGGTTATCCATGAAATGGATATTCTGATGACCAATTCCCCCCCCCCTTGCCCCCAAGCGTGCGATGCACAGCGCAGGGATCCGGCCTGTCACAGCCAAAGCCAAAATGACCGTGGAGCGCCTGCACCAGATTTGCGCCAAGGGAGGAGGGGAGGGGGGCTATTCCCAGCTCTATTCGTGCCATCACCAGCAGCATTATCACACGTCCTTGTTAGGAAGCAGGTGTGGTGACAGTCGCAGTAACCCTCACCCAGTCAGGTACCTGAGGATCCTCAGTCTGCGCGGGGCCAGGCCAGGCGCCATCCGGAAGGGACCGGCAGCGTTGTCCATTCCTCCTGTTCCACCCTCACAAGCGGCAGGAAGCTGGGCAGGGTTGAGAAATCTCTCCTGGACATCACACTTCAGCCATGCTGCAGAGGCAGGAGAGCAGAACAAAGGGCCATCACTGAAGCCGGGCTGTGGTTGTGGGTGTTGTCTCTTTGTCCCGCAACGCCTTAGCCCAAAGTTTCCTTTGCCCAGGTGAGCCTGGGGTGTGTACTGTATGTGTGTGTGGGGGGGGGGAGGCTCAGCTTGCCAGGAGAGTGCCCGTTGTGCTGCATTGAGAGAACGTGGGAGCAGGCAGGAGCAGCCTGGCGAAACTGAGCAGATGCCCAGACTTGAGAGCCCGCCGCCCAAAGTCACAGCCGGTGGTCCAGCCTCATTTCCCACGGGGGTTAACCGGACGGCTGGCCCCTGAATCCGAGAGGGCTTCCAGATTACCTGCATCGCTGCCAGGTGCCCCAGAGCAGCTGGTGGTCCTGGCAGGCAGGAGGAGGTGAAGGTGCTCTTGATCAGGAGAGTGGCCATGCAGCCAGGCTTTGAAAAAGTCCTCTAAGGCCACCACATCGTTCTCCACGGTGTGTAGATCAACCTCCGTGTTCAAGGTTGTGGTGCTCTCTGCAAGGGAAGATGAGATTAAATAGGACATCGTTAAAAAGGCACAGCAAAGGATGTCCTTCCTGCGCCAACTCAGAAAGCTCAGACTGTCCAAGGAGCAGAGTGGCCACGTGATCGAAATGGGGGTACCCGGCAGCCTGCCTGCATTTAGAGCAGCCGCGGGAGGAAGAAGAGGCCGAAGGTCAGCTGGGGGTGGCTGCATGGGAGGTGGCAGCACAGAGAAGGGCGACCCCTTCCTCAAGCGGCCGTCATGGGTCTCAAGAGTTGGTGGGCCGGTGACGACTGACTTGGGTCTAATGAGGTGCAAAGGGCCCTTTGGATTCTCAGGGGCTTGAAGAGAGCAACAGTATTATGCACAGGGGTGCCAAAGATTCTGATTATTCATACAGGCTAGTGGGATCAGAGCTAGCAGGGACTAATGGGATCCTGGAGTGATGGTGTTGACACAGCATGAAGCCGGAACAAAAGATTTCAGCAGGTGGCAACAATCTACTGCTGTCCAGCTGATGGCAACAATCAGCACCTTAGCCTGTTTTTAGATTCACTTTTTTAAAAATGAAAAAAAAATAATATTCTGAATCAATTCCAAAATTAAAAATTGAGCAAGTACTTTTATTAGATCAGATGCAATGTACTAACAATTGTGGCATGCTTCAGGTTTTGCATCAACAGGTTGTTACAAAACGAAAGAAATGGTGGGTAAGTGAAGAAAGACCAGGTTTGGGGGCTATGGGAACCTCTGCCACTTGCTCTGGCAGTGGGAACAGCCAATTTAATGCCAGTCTGCTTTTTTTGGCGGGGGGGGGGAGATTTCAAGAAGGGGCAGAGAACAGCTGATATTGTCGTGGGTTTTAGTGCTCAGATTCCATTTCTGGTGGTTTCTTATCAGGGTTAGGTGTGACTGGTGTCAGATTTTCCAATTTCTAGGCATAAACTGCTGTACTCACCACCACTACTGCTGCTGGGTACATCTCTGCCCCACTCTGCCCTGGAGAGTTCCTGGACTGCCTGCTGAGAAATCTCGACCACCTGTAGTTGGTGGAGGCTAACCAGGTCAATACCCTGCAAGCCAGCATCCAGTTGGTTGGCTATTTTTCTGTTGGGCTGGCTAGTCAGGATTGTAATCTGGAAGAAAAACCATAGTAGTTTAGAGAGAGAATCTCCTTCCTAATTGGCAGCACACTCTCTCTCCTCATGCAATCTGCCCCAAGCAGAGCCTGGCATGATGGCTGCTCCCCAGTCCTCGTCATGCCCACCGGTCTGAGCTGCACTGGTGACCGGTTGGCTTCTGGGTACAACTCAATGCACCTTTAAAGCCCTTCACGGTTTAGGACACGAACCTCTGCCGGATGCCTTATTCCAAGAACGTCTGTCTGCCCCATCAGGTGAAGAGGGGCAGGCCCCCTATGTCCTCTCACTCAAGCCGCGCTACCTGCCTTCTCTATCATTCCCCCCTTCCCACGAGAGAGTGCATTTGGCGAGTGCTGGCTGTTAGGAGTTTGCATGACTGCGTTTTCCCCTTGAGATACCAGTTACAGTAAAGAAAGATGTAACATATACATCACTCTGCACAATTATTACTATTGTAACTTACAGATAAGGGATCGTATGCTGCTCAGGGCTGGTTCTGATTAGAGCAGCTTATAACCCTTGTAAACGTAACAATAAATCTCTTTCAAAAGGTGGAGGTGGCCATTACAATTGTTGTTATTTTCTTCTAGAAAAATTCATTGTAGAAACATGCAGAAACATTTCTGAGCAGCCATTGGGTGGAACTGTGCAACCAACTCTAAATCCACAAAACTGGGAGAATTCTTGGCAAACCTTTGTCCAAAAGATATACTGAATGCCATTGCCCAAACCAATATTATACCTGATCTGCCCAACAGGTCACTGGCACCAAAGAACCATAGCAGGGTTTGTTCATGACACCCCCCTGGGGGATCCTGGCAATGGCAGCATTCTTGTGCAATTCTGCCTTGCTTCCGCTTTGGGCCACTCTTCAGATGCGCTAGACCTCTGGCCTTTTGGGCGCGCCCACGTCTTACCTCCACAGAAGAGCTGCTCAGACAGGCTCCGGCCATGCCTTGACCAGTGTACTGTTTGAACTGCTGCAGTCCGTCCAGCACTGCTTGAACCACAGCGTCTTCCTTGGGCTGGAACACCCCTTCTCTGGGCAAGGCACCCAGCTCCCCAAAGCAGCTCTGCAGCCGAGCAAAGCCTCCTTTAAGGGCCTTTAAGAGGGAAAAATGGGGAGAGAGGCACAGATTGCTTTCCTATTTCTAGATATCCCGGCGAAGAAGGCACCTCCACACCACCACCTGTTCGACACCACCTTGGCTGGATCTGAGAAATGTTGCTGAAATGTTGGTTACCTCCTGATACGGCTTACATCGAACTACTTTTGAAATCAGTGTAAAATGTAGCAGAAAGAAGTCACCCATGTTTGGGACTAAATACGCTTGTCTGAAAACTATGTTTTACATCAGAAAAAGTTAAAGGGACTAGATGTCATAACGCACCAGGGAAAATGTGACACCGTGGGGAGTAAAAACCAATGCAAGAATTCCACTAGTGGAACATTGGGCTTTTCACCTTATTAGAGAGGAAGGGACAAAATAAGAAAGGCGGCACTGAAGCATTTAAACATCAGGAGTGAGCTTGTCTCTTTCTTTGTCCAACTGAGGATGTGAGTTAAACAAGGGGGATGCTACGGACATAGAACAACCCTGATTTTAGCCAAGCCGAATCCCACCTCCTGGCTTCCTCCTGAGATCCAGAGGGTCCTCACTCTGCTATTGGTTAGAGCAGCCCTGGTGACCCGGCTCTTCTCCGCACCTCTGGCAGGCCAGGGGGAGAGCGAGACCACCTGCTTCATTCCACCCAGTCTGGCTGGCTTGCACTCCATCCCTTTTCATTGGCTTCATTGTAATTTATTTGTCTTATTGTCGTGAGCCACCCAGAGGTGTTCAGAATGGGGTAGCAGACAAGCTTAAATAATAATAACCCCAACACATCTGGAGCAGCACTTGAATACCACTGGGATAGACGAAATCACTATCAGTCAATTGTAAAAGGATCAAGGAGGAAAAAAATCACCCTCATCAAGGAACTCCCGAGGAGGAAAGCACACGGCTCAGCCACACTGGCAGCGCAAGCTACTGTAGGTTAACAGGGAGCAAACTGGCCCTTCTTGGCACTGACAGTGTCAGGTGGGTGACGAAACGTCTTGTTAACAAAGCTCAGAGAACACCAGTGACTTCAAAAGTGAAAGTTACAGAATGGATTAATAAAGACTGAAAAATGACAGAATTAAAAATAACCTTTAGCCGGACTGTTTAGGAGAACCATGTCAGTGTACGGTGACCCAAAATTAGGTAGAATCTGGTAGCACCCTTTCTGACTAACACATTTTGTTAAAAATATGTCAGGTTTTGTGATTTACAGCTTGCTTCATCAAATACATTGGGTGGCTATATTAAAGTGGGCATTGTGATGAAGAATTTGCATCTCCATTACCAGTCTTCCCCTCCCTTCTCTGTCTCCCCACATTAAACCATTCCTGATCTTTAACCGGACAGAATGTAGCTTAGTGTTGATAAACCAGAGCTGGAAGCCCAAGTTTAACATACAAATGAAGACTGGAGCAGGCAAAGAATGGCATCACACCCAAGCATGAGAAGATGGGCTGAGTTTTGCCTCAACAAAGAGTAGCCACCAATGCGGAGCCCGAGTATCTTAGGCCTTTGGACTGCCAACCACCATGGATATGGAAACACTAAGCTCTTAGAGATCCATCAATGTAACCTACAAAAGCTCCCAAGCGAGATGAATCAGGCCCCAAGGGGCCAAAAGTTACATAAGAGCAGAAGAACAGCTAGCACTAAGGAAAAAGCAGAACAGGGCCCTTCAGATATTTCACTCGGCTGCAGAGGGGCTTGTGTGTGTGAGGGAGCGCTCACCACGAAGGGCAGCAGACATTCCTGCTGGTTCTGGACCACGTAGAGGCTGAAGGAAGGGATGCGTGGTGGGCCTGTCAGGCTGCAGGCTAAGCAGAAGACGTTTTCCAAGGCTTCACAGAGTTTGTGGCAGGTGTGGTCCCAATGGGGAGGATGGATGTCTACCACCAGGATCCGTGGAGGTTGCCTGGAAGGAGCAGTGGTGGTGGCAGGGCATTTCTCAACAACACCAGGTCTTTGTCTTCCAGGACTCATGGTTTTCTGAACACAGTGTAGATTGTGGCTGTCTGGAAAGTAGAAGTCAAGAGCTGACTCTTTTCTCACAGTGCATTGTCACCCATGAAGGCAGATACAGAGGATGCCAGAAATGTTGGAGGGGTGGAAGAGGAGCATCTGGGTGCAAAGATTAGCAGCTCCAGACTGGATGCAGGTCAGCACCCCGCCTGTCCCAGGAGAGTAAACCGTGAGGTATGAATGCGGGCATTGTATGCAGCGATTCCTACCTTCAGGTTTGTTCTATTCAGTCTATCCCAATCTGTTTATACGGCCACTCCCAGGATTCTTGGCCTGGATAATTAAGGGGGATTCTCGTTGGGAGCTTTGGGTGCTACAGTCTCAACATATCTGGGGGTTCTTCCATACAAACCTACAATTCCAAAACAATTCTATCTGCACAGATTAGGTTTAAACATTACATAAACCATGATCTGCTTGATCAAGATTTGTTGAATTGCCTGGGTTCACACGTTACGCCAACCCCAAATCAAAGAGTGATTTGTGAACCCCACTGCACACGTGGGACAGCTAATTCCAAACTGCCAAGAGAACAACCTGACTGTATTTTTGTCAGGGCCAGGGCAGCTCAGCCAGGGGGACCGTCCAGAGCGCCGTTGAGAGGAGGTCTTGTGCCACGTCAGACCCTACAGAAGAGAATACTTGTAGCTCAGCACTGAGCTGTGGGGGCCTTGATGCTCTCTGAACTTGGGGCATAGGACTCGTTAATTTATAAAAAATAAGAGCAAACTCCCCACTCCCTTCCAGCACCGATGATGTTACCTAGTTTGGCAGTGAAAGGTCTGCCAGAAAACCACCAAGCACAGAGAGCACCAAGGACCCCCTCCCCACTTACACAGACCCTTCCCATCTCCCATCTCCCAACTAGGGGTGCATTTGGAGGCAGCTCACACGTTCACCTTCCAAAGATTTGAATTAAAAAGCCGGTATTTGTATACAGGAGGTCTGTGTGGCACGGGGGGGGGGTAAGGGGGGAGAAGAGGCCTTTTCAGGCCAGGCCTGGTGCCTCCCCCCCCCCGGCCCCTGCGCAGCCAGTCCAGAGGGGAAAAGCCTGGGAGGAAGGCCCGGGCCTCCAGGCTTTTCTTTCGCCCGGACGAAGGGCGGCCCAAAAACAGGCCTCCCTTGTGAATCTGCCCCGGGACTCGTGGGGGGGGTCTTGAGGGCCGCCCCACCTTCTCGGCAGCGGCCTGTCCCGAGAGAGAGCGCCCCGGCCTGGCCCGGCGGGAGAGGCCGGCCCCTCCGCTCTGCCCCGCCGTCCTTTGGCGGAGCCGAGCCGGGGCTGCGGGTGGGGGCGGGCAGGCTCTCTTTAGACCCCCGGCGAGGGCGGCTGGCCCGAGCTTCTCCCGGGCGGCGCCGCGGGACTTGCGGGCGAGGAAGGCCCGGCCCGCCTCAAGGATGGGGGGGGGCGCGATGTCGGCGGGCGAAGAAGCCTCTGCGGCGACCCCCCCCCCGCCCTGGCAATTGCCCCCCCACCCGAAAGAGCCTCCTCCCGCCCGCCGTTGGGTGGGCGGGCGAGCCAAGGACACGGCCGTCTGAGCCTGCCGGAAAGCGGCCCTCCGCCCGACGCGCCCCGAGGCCGAAGACCTGGACGGGACCCCCACCCACCTCCGGGGCAGGCTGCGCTTCTGGCTTGCCGGAGGGGGGGGGGAGTTATCCGGGGAGGAGGGGGGAGGGGCGGCGCCTCCCCGAGGGCGGGAAAGGCGCCCCGGAGACCCTCCGCGGAAGGAAGAGGGTGGGCGGCGGAGGCGAGAGCCGGAAACCCCAGGAGGCTCCGGTTTTCCGCGGGGACAAAGGCCAAAGCCCCCCGTGCAGAGTTGGGCGGCAGCCGTTGCTCCGAGGGGGAGAATCTGGCGCTTTCCTGGGTCACAACAAGCGGCCCTCTCGGCGGAGTTGCTAGGAAGGCGAGCCGAAGCCCGGCCGGTCACCAGATACGGGGCAAAGGCCGGAGGATTCACCGTCCAGCCCTGGGGGGCAAAATCTGCCCAGGGCTCCTCCTGTGGAGGGGGCAGGCGCCTGTGGGGAGGGACGGAAGGGCAGGCGAGAGGACGGACCGGCTCCTGGGCTCAGCCGTTCCAGAAGCCGGGAGAAGGCAGCCGCGGGCTCCGGCTCAAAGGAAGCTCACTTGGGCTCCGCACGAGGAGCCAGCTGCGAGCGCTGCTCGGGAAGGGGACCCTCTGCCTTCGAGAGCGGGGAGGGGGGATCCTTCTTCTGCGTGGGGCTAACCAGAGGTTGCAGTGGAGCGTTCTTCCCCGGGGCCCTTTTCCTTCGGCTGCAATATGAGGTGACCCATGCCAGATCGCCAGCATATCAGCCTCCAGTGCGGCCATGTCTGCTCTGACCCGTGGTCCTCCGCCATGGTCCTCCCCTCCCCTCCAGCTGTTAGATGCCTTTTGCCCTTTGGCCTCTGGGCACATCAGCAGCCGGGCATCGTTCCTACTTCAGCCCAGCCGCCTCAGAAGCATGGAAGCTGTTGCTGCTCCCATTTGACCTCAGCTTTTCTCCCGTAGCTTGAAGTTTTCTGACTTGGGAGGGGTTGTGTTGATATTTTCCTGGTTGTTAATATCCACCTGATTTTCTTGGCTGAAAACTGAATCCATATCATTTTCTGGTGAATCATGTTTAGTCTTTTCACTTGTCTATGCCTTCTGGATCATTAAGATTTTAGATCTTGTTTGTTCCCCCTATTCTGTGTATTGACCTATTTTCCTCCTTGTGTTTTGAAGGCAGCCACTCTTGTTAATCAAAGTCAGGAAAAGAAAAAGGGGTTTTTGTTGCCTTAAATCAGCTTCCCCTAAATTGCTGCATTTTGCAAAATACTAGCTGGCCCAATGCTCTTTTTGGCACATTCCTTCCAGCACATCTGCACGGAGTTTACCATCACAACCTTTTCTTCCTCCTCGTTTTCTCATCCTCCTGGTTTCCGTCCTACGTAACTCCCCCTGTAGCAACTCCCCCTGTAGCGGTCCAGGCAATCAGTGCTTTGCACAGAGTCTCGGATGCATGCTTGTGCCGCCTTTCAATGGGAGATGCCGAACATCAACAACACCTTGGCACACAAATATAGTGTTATTTCCAAAATCTGTCTCGCCTAAAGCAATCAAAGCATATTGAAGATACATGTTTTTATTTGCATGCCATCCATTATCCACCACCCCAGCAAAGCTGTGATGGCCAAGAGCAACAGCAGAACAGGGCCCGTGTGCTTTCAGCCCCCCAAAGGCCACAGCAAGCTAAAGGAAAAAGCCGACACCGTGGGAAGTACAGCGTGACATCAGAATATTTTGGATGAAGCCGTCTGTCAGACATTGTTGATCTCTTCTTACTAGATCAGCCTGCCAGCTGTACTCTTTCTAAGATCTGGTCAGTGAATGAAAACAATTTGGTTTACTGGGCCAGAAATCCCTGACTGAATTTTCACCCATAAGCGACTTCAGCCTGCTGTGAATATTTTCTTACACTTTTAGCCGTTCACCACCCATCCCAGAGATACTGAACGCAACTTACAGGTGTACTGGGGAGCCGGGGGGGGGGGCATCTTTAACCACCACAATAGGCTCTGGATTGTATTGCTTTGCATTCCACACATTTTGGCATTAAGCTCCTAATCCTGTTTGGAAAAGGCCTGCTGAGATGGGACAGTCACCTGCTCATCAAGGTTGTTGGCTTTGTTTTTGAGTCCATCCTGGTTTCTTGACCTCCTGCTGTTTGCAACATGTGGAAGGACTCGGTGAAGCTGTGCTTGGCTGCCAGGATGTCATTGTCTTCCATGGAGCCTCTGGGGCCGAGGCGTAAGGAAGATCCCTCGGAAGGCTGGATGGAGCCACCCACAGGGCAGTTGGGGGGGGGGGCTGTGAGCCTCCTTGCCTTGGTCAGGATGGATGTGGGGATTCAAAGCAGAGTCAGAAAAGCACAGAGGTGAGGGAAGCAGAAAAAGACAAGCCTCGCCATCAGGTCGCTCCATGGAAGAGGCTGGGCCGCATCAGGGCAGCCTCCAGCGCAGGGGTGCCCAAACTGGGCCGCAGCCCACTACCAGTCCATGGCCTATTCTTAACTGGGCCGCATGAGTGGCTGGCTGATACATGCAGTAAAACAGTAACTGTGAGAGGGACCCTGGAGTCGCAGTGGACGATCACTTAAATATGAGCCAGCCGTGTGCGGCAGCAGCCAAAAGAAGCTAATACAATCCTGGATTGTAGAAACAAGAGGCGTAGAATCAAAATCAGGTGATGTATTAGTGCCACTTCATAAAGCCTTAGTAGGACCACACCTGGAAAGCTGCATTCAGTTTTGTTCACTACATTACAAAAAAGATGTTGAGACTTTGGAAAAAGTGCAAAGAAGATCAACTGAAATGATCAAAGGCCTGGAGACAAAAACTTATAAAGAACAGGGTGACATGACAGCAGTATTCCTGTATTTGAGAGGTTGCCACATAGAGGAGGGTACCAGAAGGCAGGACAAGAAACAATGGATGGGAACTAATCAAGGAGAGAAGCAATCTGGAGATGAGAAATTTCCTAACAGCCAGGACAATTAACCAGAGGAATAGCTTGCCACTAGAAATCATGGATGCTCCATCACTGGAGGTTTTTAAGCAGAGACTGGACAGTCATTTGTCTGAGATGGTAGGTAGAGGGTCTCCTGCTTGATCAGGGGGTCAGACTAGAAGACCTCCAAGGTCCCTTCCAGCTCTGTTCTGATTGAACCGAAATTGAAACTCGTCTCTGGCGGGTGACCCCCCTCCTACCCTGCACCCCCGGTCTTCTCCCAGCACCTTTCGTATGATCGAGGCCACCGGAGCATCCCGGGCCAGGTGGGCGGCAGCCGGAGGCTCCGAGGCCCGCCGCAAAGCCAGCCGGAGCTCTGCGGGCTGCAGGAGGCGCGTCCCGGAAGGCGGCGATCCGCGTGCGGCTGGTCCCGCGGCGCCAACGGAGCGGCCGTTGCCGGGGCGACCGCTGGACGCCCGGCCGGGAGCATGGCGGCGGCGGCGCGCAGGGTGCCGCTGGGCAGGGAGGCGCACGGCGTCTACAGCCTCTGCTTCGGCGCGAGCGGCGCGCAGCTGGCGGCGGGCTTCGGCGACGGCGCCGTGCAGGTAGCGGGGGCCGGGCGGCGGGCGCTCTGAGCGAGGGCTGCCGCCGCCGCCCATGTTCACGCCGCTCTCCCCGCAGCTGGTGGACGCCGGGACGGGCGCGCCGGGACCCTGCCTGCGGCCGGGACGGCGTCCGCGGCAGGCCGTCACCGCACTCGGTTTCCATCGCGCCAAGCCCGGGCTGCTGCTGGCCGCCGGAGCCGATGGGGTCGTCGTCCTCTACGACCTGCGCGCGGGGGGCGCCGCGGCCTCTCTGAGCGGTGGGTCGGCGGGCGCAGGGCGGGCCCTTCCCGCGGGGCTGCGGACACCCCCCTCCCGGCCCCGCAGGGAGCGCCGCGGCCTCTCTGAGCGGTGGGTCGGCAGCCGGCGGGCGGGGCTGCTGACTCTCCCCTCCCGGCCCCGCAGAGGAGGAGAACGAGATCCACGCGCTGGACTTCTGCCGCGACGGCAGCGCCTTCGCCACGGCCGGCAAAGACCGGCACATCCGCCTCTACGACAGCCACACCCACCAGGTGAGCCACGCCCCGGCCTCCCGCCCCGCCCCCGAGCGCGCCCTCGCCTCCCGCCCTCCTCCTCCTCCTCCTCCTCTCCTCTCCTCTCCTCAGCTCGTCCACGTGGTGCGCGCGCCGGACTTCATGGCCGGGGACGAGTTCACGCCCTTCAGCGGCCACTCCCGGCGGATCTTCGCGCTGCGCTTCCACCCCACCGAGTTGCACCTCTTCCTGACCGGCGGCTGGGACAACTCCGTCAAGGCAAGTGCTGCCCCCCCCCCAGGGCGCGCTCCCCCTCCCGTGCTCCCCCCCGCCCCCGGCGCCCGGCTCTGAGATTGGCCGCCTGTCCTCTGCCAGGTTTGGGACAAGCGCGTGCCCAAAGGGGCGCAGAGCGTGATCAACGGGCCCCACATCTGCGGTCCTGGGATCGACATCAAGGTGAGTCCCGTCTGAGTCGGGAGGGGGGGAGAAGGGGATTTCCACCTTCACAACAGAAAAGGATGCCATCGATGCGGGCAAAAAACCGGAGTGGGTGGGGGCCCCTCTCTTGTATGCTTCCCCAAGGCCTGGGGCTGCCCTCCAAACCCGGATCCCCCAGGCTGAGCAGACGGAAGGTGAAGCCTTGGGTCAGGCAGAGCGGGGGGGGGGGCTTCCGTGCTGACAGCAGCATCCTCTGAGCATTCCCAGAGGGAGACACGCCTGCGCCAGGGGCAGACTGACCTCTGCAGCCGATGGAGAGACCCCAAAGGGTAGCGGATGCGAGTCCCCTCCCCCCATCCTTGGGCTTCCAGGTGAAGCATCAGGTGCAAATGACTTCAAAGCTTCAACTGTAGGCTACGTGTCTTTGGGTTCAATACTCCATCAATTACTCCAAACGGAAGCAAATCTTGTGCCAAAGAGAGAGGACTGTGAAGTCGCACATCTGCCTCCCCCCCCCAAATAGGGAGAACATATCCTGACTGCCTCCTGGGTGCCTCACAATGCTCTGCAACTCTGGGACCTGCGGATGTCCAGGCTGTGGCAAAACGTGCCCTTTCCTGGCAACCCCACCCAGGGAGAATTTCTCTACTCGGCCCAGTTCTGCACTGAGGACGTGGTGGTGGCCGGGGGCAGCGGCACCAGCGGAGCTGGGATTATCCACACTGGAACAGGCCAGGTAAGGGGGGTGTGTTTGTGGGGGTGGGAAGAGTCTCGGGAGTAGCTAGCGCAGGAGTGGCTGCCAGTCGCAGCCAGGATCTCCCTCCGCAGCCCCTCTTGGTTTTGCCTTGCTGCTCACAGGTGATTGGGGAGGTCCTGCTGTCCAACAAGCCGGTGCACGTGGTGGCTTCAGCTTCCAGAGGGCAGCCCGTGGCCGTCGCTGGTGCGGGGGGAAACCTCTACCTTGCAGAGCTGCACTGAGTCCCGAGGCGCCTGGCTGGCAGCCGAGCCGGCAGGAGGCAGTCCTTTACCGCGGTGGCCTCCGTTGCGCAAGCGGCAGCTTTGCAGCTGTTCCGGCCTGACACTCTGGCCCCACTTCATGCCCATTTGGCGCCCCCTTCTCCCCCTCTCATGCTTATTGTTCTGACCTGCCCTTTGCAGTGTTGGGGCGCTCCCGTATCTTCCCCAGGGATGGGACGCCATTTGGGCCTGAGGCGTGTGGCACGTGGGGGATGCCCACCTGCCAAGGATGTGTGCAATAAAGCTTCCTAATGGCCGGCGGGACCTGTGTCTGAGAAACGGGAGCCGTGTTGCCCATGACCGGATGCCTGGGGGAAAGGGCGAGGAGGAGGGCCGGGTGCTTCAGCTTCGCTTTGGTGTGAAGGTCCCATCCAGCCTTGCAGAGCCAAAGAGGAACTCAGGCTCTGCACCCGGTGGGATCCAGACAAGGGAGAGGAACAAGTATCGGTGCAGTTTGGTGCGTCTTGGCTGAGCTGAGCCAAGCCTGGAATATCAAGTGGAGAAATGGCTCCCAAGCGGGACAGGATTGTTTGAGCCGATCCCAAACTGGCCTAAGCTCAGCTAGTCTTTCACGGCTGTTTCCTTGCTTTCCTGATCTGTAAGCAAGCCCATCAGGGGCTTGAGGGGGGGGGGGGGAATCTCCTCTCTGTTTGCAAAAGGAGATGGAGGTGAAGAATAACAGGGCCCGTCTGTCTTCGGGTTCTGGTGCTGATGCTACTCTGCAGAATAGAACAGCACCCATTTCCTACCTGACTTCAGGTGTTTTCTAGAACCGAATGGGCTGTCTGAAATCAGGGCTTTCCCTGCCTTTTCACTCTTTTTGGGGTAGGGCAAAAGGAGGAAAGGTTCCCTTTTTAGAGGAGCCCTAAAGACCCCGCACCCCGCCCAGTGTGGAAATCCATGTGGATGCATCCAGACAGGCTGGGATCCTGGCACCGTTTAAGACGCTTCTGGGTTGAAAAGGTTAGCCGGTGGCATCACTGTTGCCCGTGGGACAGCCAGGGGGGGCTCTTTCATGTCCTCTCAAGGAGCTGGAGCGAATGAGAACAATAGTGTCGGCCCAGGAGTGGGTCTGGTTGGTGCGTGACGGTTCTGGTGGGATGCCACCCACTTGCGTTCCTCTGAGTCCACGGGAAGGACCCTGAGTCCAGCCATCCAGCTCATATGCGCAGATGCAGTTGAAAAGCGGGGGAGGTCCTTCGTGCCAATGACCTATTTTTGGAGGAAACTTGGAAAAGAGGTTTTAGACCAGTGATGGCGAACCTTTTAGAGACCGAGTGCCCAAGCTGCAACCCAAAACCCACTTATGTATTGTCGGGTGCCGGGTGGGCATGGCTCATTGGGTGGGTGTGCCCCATTGGGTGGGCGTAGTTGCGGTGGTAAACACAGACTGGGTGAGACTAAAAAGTTCAATCAATTTCCAACTTTGTGAGATCTTTTTTTTTCCCGTGAGAAGTTGAAATTGATTGATTGAACCTTTTTTTTTTTTGCACATGATGGCGGAGGCCTAAAGCGAAAAGGTTTTATAAAATGCAGCTGAAGGCCTAGGTGCCATAGGTTTGCCACCACGGACTTAGGGCTAGGGTTACATCACCATGAATTCATAGAGCAAAATGGACATTTCCAACAAATTTGGAGTGCTTGGGTATGGTTAGAAAGGCATTTACTTTTCTAGGCTGCCCTATCTATGTTTCCTAGTAAAATACGTGGGAAAATCCCATTGGAGGAAAATTCCACTTAGGGTTAGGGTTAGGTCACCATGAACTCGGTGAGGAAAATGGACATCTCCAACAAATTCGGAGTGCTTGGGTATGGTTAGGAGGGCACTAACTTTTCCAGCCTGTCCTATGTTTTTTTTTTTTTGCACACGGCGGCAGAGGCCTAAAGCGAAAAGCTTTTATAAAACCCAGCCGAAGGCCTAGGACTGGGGTGATGGCGTGCATGCCCACAGAGAGGGCTCTGCGTGCTACCTATGGCACACGTGCTATAAGTTTGCCACCACAATTTTAGACCATTTGCGTCTACCCCCAATTTATGTAAACAGCGTATGAAGCACCTCCCACCCCCCAACCCCAATCTGTTGGTTCTGTTGACCTGGTTGCAGGGATCGAACTGCCTTTCGCTGGTGCTGGTGCTGTCGCCGTTGGGGTGATGCCCACGTACATGCATCACTCTCTAAAAAAGTCTGATAATATTCCACTGCAGGGAGAGTCTTGAGAGAGATTTATTTTAGACCAGGAACAGTTTGATTTCGAATGTTTTCAGCAGCCTCACTGACTTGGAAACTGTCCCGGAGAAGAATTGAGCAGCTCTGGGGTTTCCTCTCTTGAGGGGGAGCTCTTCAGGAAGGATTCCCACCCCATGGCCGGCCGGAATGCATTGGAGGGTTCACTTGGGGAGGACTGGCAACAAACTCCTCCACCAGCAGCCCAGCAACGTCCTCGGAAGGCAGCTTCAGCCTTCTCGGCCAGCTCCCTCAAGCAGGGAACCCGGCAGGGCTGGCGCTGCAACCGTTTGCCAAGATCAGGTGCCGACGGTGGAGCGTGAAGGCAGGCGGAGATTTCTCAAGGTGGCGCTCTCTGACCAGGACCTCCCCTTTGGATCTGGGGATCCTGTGGCTTCACCTATCAGCTGAGCACAAGGAAGGGCATTTCCAGATGTTATTACTACTGCAATCCTGAGTCCAACCCCCTTACCCGTTCTTCCTCCTCCTCCTCCTCCTCCTCCTCCTGCCCTCCCTCAGTCAGGGCTGGCATTCCAGACATCTCGCTGCTCCCTTGGACCTTCACACAGATAATAATAACGCCCGTGATGAGCGGTCCCATTTTATGCTGCCATTTCCAGGCCTGCCTCAGAAGCTTAAAAAAATGGGTTCGGCTTGGGGGGGGCAAAGGGTTGCGGTTGTAAGCCCTGCGAGACTCTGCCTGTAAGCCCCGTCCCCTCATGGGAAGGCCTGAGGCGCTCTCCTGGCAACTACCTTTATGGATGCTCGTCCAGCTGGCTCAGGAAGATGCCTCAATACCGCGGGCTCTGCTTCCCTCCAGTGCCGGCAGAGGTGGAAGCGAAGATTCCTGGAGGGGCTTCGAGGGAGCGCGCCCTCTCTCTCTCGCTGGCTTCGCTGTGCTGCTTGCCTGCGGTGGTCAGAGGGTGCGGAGACGTTTGCCTAAGTAGCGGGTCTTTTGAGGGCCTGCCCAGGTCTCGACTGCGAGCAGAAGGGGACGCCCGTGAGCGCCCAGTGCCCGGGTTCAATGGAGCTGGGCTGGGGATTCGCAGACTGACCTCGCTGGGCAAGTGTCCGTCTGACTTGCTTGGGGGTGGACAGGCCCAGAATCCCCCTCTCCTCCAGCGTGGATCGACCTGGGCCTGGGGACTCAGGGGGCAACAGCAGTGGGCTGGCAGCTCTACTGTCATACTCCAGAAGTGATTTCTCTGTGGTGGGAGGGGGGAGAAAGGCAGGGTCAACTTTGTCGCACCCCTCTCCCCCCCATACATTGAAGCAAATGCTGCCCTTCAGCCAGTCTTGCGATGCGCTTGTCTTTGGAAAGGAACTGGAGAGAACGACGCCAGCCCCGTCTCTGCTCTGGTGCAGACTGGGAATGTGGAGTCCAGCCATTTTCTTTCTTTTTCAGCATTGTTACCCCTTGTGATGCTGTGTGCATCTGCAGAAACATTATTCACATCTCCCACCCAGCCATTCCTTCTCCCGACCAGTGGGGGACACAGTGGGTGGCTCCAGTGCTGCTCTCCCCCCCCCCCGCCCAGCAGGCTGCCTGAGTCAAGGACAGAGGTGGGGCAGAGGCCGGCTGGGGCCTCTCTGCTTCTTGGAGGGTGGAGGCAGGACATTGGGCAGCCACGAGAGGGACTCCTCGGCAGTCCTAACGGCTCTGCTGGTGGGAAGGGGAAGTGGCTGTGAGATGCTGCAACCGGTCATAAGGAGGCAAGCTTCTGCAATCTGGTTATAACCAAGCAAGTGAGCTTCCCCCCCCCCCAATTTTGTTAAAGCTTTAAAATTACAAAATAAGCTTTCAAATGAGAATCCCAAGGCTGATCTAAGAGCTGGGCAGGAGCTGTGGAGGCGAGAAGGGCACCGTTGCCCTCGGGTTTGGCCTGCTACACTTTTTCCAAGGGGGGGTGTGTCTATTTGGGTGCCCAGGAATTTCCAATGTGGAAAAGTTTCTGCCTCCAAGTTGCTACCTCTCCCTCTTTCAGGGAGGGGAAGGCAAAGGCAAAACGAACCAAGGGAGGGGGCGGCTTGGAGGAATAAACACATGAAAAAGCAGTAGATCATGTGGTCAGGGCGCAGTCTGAATGTATAGGTAGCCCACATGTCAACTTAGAATTAGGGCTGACAACTCCATCACTCCATGGCATGATTGTTACTGTGCCCAACCTATGTCAGTTTGTGAGTTCTGGCCCCAGTTCTTTAAAATATTTATTCAATGTCTATAGCCGCCCATCTCAACCAACTTGTTAAGCAAATCATCCGCAATCATTAAGCATGTCACTCTACTGCTGGCTTCCCCATTGACTTTGCTTGTTGGAAGCTGCCTGTGAAGGTCACAAATGGTGATCGTGAGATTGTGGGATGCTGCAGCAGTTGAATCTTTGATGTAAGTCTCCTTTTGAGCACATAACTTCTAACAGTCATTAAAAGAATAGTAAGTAAGGACTATCGTGGGTCCACTGGCAGCCCATAACGAATTCTGGTCTTACGGACTTCAGTGGATCTGCTCTTCATTTTACTGCATGCAAAGAATCCCCTGCCCCAAACACCCCTTTGATCACCGAGTCTGTTTTTCATGGGGACAGACAAGCTCTCTTGCAAGGAGTAGCCAGAGTGCCATTCCCTGGAAAAGTAATCTGTGTGAGTGTGTGTGTTGTGTGAGCATGGCAGGGATTATCCAAGGAAGGAGCCTGGACCCTAACCCACCCATGCCTCACCTGGAGCGCTGCTGTCCCTTGTGTGTGGGTCCTTCTCTCCAGCTCCGGCCAGCCTGTTAGGGCAGAAGGTTCTTGAGCCTTTGCTGTTCCCTCCGGCTTCTCTTCGGGGCTGCCATCCTCTCCCCATATCTGGCTCCTTAACCCCTTCTGGTCCACTGGAGCTGACATTCGTTAGGGGCCTTCAGGGAGCTGCAGCCCCCACCTCCCCCCACCCCAGCTATGGTCCTCTGTATAGAGACAGTTCCCCCCCCCCACCATCCTGGTGCTGAGACCAGATTCGCCAGGAGAATGTGGCTTGTGCTTCCTTGATTTGAATAAGATTTGAGGTTGATGCCTTATCGTTCCTCACCTCCTTTTCACGGACAATTTCTGCAAAACTACCCGGTAGTTTTTTGCAAAATGGACCATGCTGGTGTCTAAACTCGATTCCATCTTCTGAAAAACTAGAACGAAGTTAGTGTACAGATTACAAAGGAGGGTTTCAGTGAACCCAGAAGGTTATAGTGAGCCCCGGTTCTGCTAAGATTGATGGAGATTTTTAAAATCACAGCACCCAAGTATTTTCTGGCGCTTGCCTAGCCTCACAAGAACCAGAAAGAACGATTTGGGAGCCAGGAGAATTCCCTTCCCTCCATCTTGGACCTGTCAACCAGAGTGTCCCATGCTGAGGCCTGAATCCTGACTGAATGAGGCCCAGGTGGTCTTTTCCCTCCAGCCTCTGTAACTCTAGTCCAAATGCTGTACCTTATTATGAATTTTCCCGAGGAGGAGGAGGAGGAATCTGGTTGATGCTTTTCTGAAATTTGCAGCTGAATGATGGTCTCTTGAGGAGAGAGAGAGCCCCTCCCCTATCTTTTCCAGGGTGCCCTAAAGACACCGGAAGAGCCCCTCTCTGCTCAAAGGACCTTGCTGTGCATGTGAAAAAGGCGCACACACATACACACACACACACACACACACCGTCTCTTGCTATGGCATATTTTCATGCATAGTTTTGGTCATAGGTAAAAACATCCTTTTTATTTGTTGACATATTTAGAATTAGTTTTTTTAAAAAATTATGCAGATGGGTTAACACTAGAAGTGGCAAGACTATTTGTGCTTGTCAGGAAGTCTTGCTGAACGTCCCCCTCTTGCAAACTATGTCAAATGGGTGATCCAAACACAGAGCTACCACCACCACCACCACGGGTGGAGCTTTATGGACCTCTTAATATTCAGGAAGTTAAAAACAGCACCATTTTTTTTGCACCATGTTACATTTATTATCGCTTAATACTCAAAAGATTATCCCCGGGAAGGGGAACCCAGGCCAACACAAGGACCAAGGCAGGTGGGGGCTTTAGAAAGATAGCTCCAAACTTGAAATAGTAGAGGAATTTTCTGACCATGAGAGCAGATTGTGGAACAGATTCCTGCAGTTGGGGGG